TTCAAGCAGCTGGAAGAGGTCTTGTCTCTACACACTGATGTGGAAAGCCCCTCTGGGCTCAGAGAAGAGTAAGTGGCAAACACATAGAGTATAATCTCATGTATGTGGCAACCACAGAAATGCACAAAACCATTTCTGCAGGTACATGTATGTGTATATAATCCTTGAGGGAAAACTGGAAAAGATACCCATCAAGCTGAAAACAGTGGTTATTTCTGCAAAGGGTCTTGGTGTAAGGAAGAGAGTTAGATAATACTTTACATGTATGGCCGGCCCTCTGTACCTGCAGGTTCTGCATTCACAATTCTAGGTGGATCAAAACTATTTGGGAAAAATGTGTCCTATGTTAGGCTTATGATGAGATAGGTGGTTGGGTCTGTACTGAACACGTATAGGCTTTACTTCGTCGTTATTCCCTGAACAATACAGGATAACAACTATGTACATAGCATTTACGCTATGAGATATTGTCAGTAATTAGAGGTGATTAAAAGTATATGGGAGGATGTGCAGAGGTTATATGCAAACACTACACTGTTTTATGTAAGGGACTTGAGCACCCGAAGATTTTGGTATCCGAGGGTCCTGGAACCAATCCCTCACAGATACCGAGGGTGTTGTGTTGATATACAGCGTGAGTGTTGATACTATATACACTTTGGAATTATTATTTTTTTTTTTTACCAGCTTATTCAGGTATGACTTATATACTGTAAAACTCACCCATCTTCAGTGTTCAGTTCGGTGATTTTTAGTAAATCTGTGATCACAACCATCACCACAATTCAGTTTTAGAGTGTCTGCATCCTCCTGTCCTCGTGCTCACTTACAGCTAACCCCCGCTCCCTTCCCCGGCGGTGGCAGCCACCAGTCTGCTTCCTGTCCCTATGAATTTGCCTGTCCTGGACATTTCGTATAAATCGGATCATATAATATGTGGCCTTTTGTGTCTGGCTTCTTTCACTTAGCTGAATTCTCTAGAAGGTTGTCATGTATTACATTACTAAAATACATAAGGAGTAAGAGGAAGGATAAGAGCAGGGCGTGGTGTGGTGTAGGAATTGGCCAGGAAGGTTCTGGATCACAGGGTGCATCAGATGGACAGGGCCACGCCCTAGTTTTTACTACTGGCCGTGTGTGCCTGCTAGTTAAGGTGCTTTGATGGCAGGGAACGGAAGCCACCTCTGCACCACTCGTGAGAGGATGGGTCTTCTGAAGGAGGGATGGGGCGGCTGAGCAGCGGATCCCTGGGTCCCCCCTGCGCACAGCCCTCGCCGTGTGCTGCTTCCACCCCTGGTTGTGCACACTCCCAGTTCCAACGCCCAGCAAGTGCCTCTGGTCCTGCCCCGCCTCTTGTGAATGGGGGAAGGGCAGCTTCCCACAGGAAAGAGGGCTGGGAGGGCAGAAAGGGGCTGGGCTGACAAGCGATGCTCTTACCCTGTGGTGGCTTAGGTGGCAGCTGGGTGAGGCTGCAGCTCAGGTGGGTGACCTCCATCCCTTGACATTTTGGCTCTAAAGCAGATCCCCTGTGTGTTTGCAGCTGTGCTAAGTTAGGCCAGTGGCTTGGGTTCCAGACTCCCACTGAGGTCACTTGTCCTGGGGCTCACCTGGGTCATAAACCAGCCTTGAGTGCCACATAAGGGCACCCCCTTTTCTTCCCTCGGTGTCAGGGAACCCGCATCCCCGACTTGTCAGCGTGCGGCATGGTGGGCGAGGCGGTTGTGGTGGGGGCACGCTGGGCGGCCACTCAGGGTCTGTCCAGTGTTGAGTTATCTCAGGACCCTGTCCTGTCTTTGCCTTCACTGATTATCAGCTAATATGTTCTTCTTGAAATCAGTTCACAGTTTTTATTACGTGTGTTTTTTTGTTTTTGTTTTTTTTTAAATCCGAGGCTGAGAGAGGTCAGGAAATCTGCCAAGGTTGGCAGGGCCCAAGCAGGGTTTATTTATTATTATTTTTTAAAGATTTTATTGGGGAATTGGGGGAGGGGAACAGACAAGTTGCTGTCCTTTTGTTCTTCAGTCTAGTTGTGGAGGACGTTGCTTCACTNGCGCCACTCGGCCGGCCCAATATCTTGATTTTTTAATGGGCAGGAAGCGAGGGGCTGGGGCCCAGAGTGCTGCCCTCGCGCACCTGAGGCCTCCAATACCCTCCAGGTCCAAGAGGGTGAGAACAGAGCCTTGCCTTTCATGTCTTTGAAGCCTTGTCTGTGGCCCAGGGCCTCGCTCATACAGGCCTCCAGTAAATCTGTTGTGTTTTTCAACTGTTGCTTTGAGACCACCGTAGATTCACCTGTAGTTGTAGGAAATGATGCAGAGATCCCAGATGCTGTTCACCTGGTTTTCCCCAGTGATGTCATCTTGTAAAACTCCTGTGTTCTATCACAAGCAGGAAACTGACATTGATGCATCCACGTTTACCAGATGCCACCAGCTTTATAGCATCGTGTGTGTCTGTGCACGTGCGTCCCTTCCGGAATCTTGATTGACCATCGTTCTTGTATGGAAAGCCCGCCTTGTTCAGGGCAGAGCGGGATGTCGGGTCCCTTCCCTGGGATGAGGCCTGAGAACCTCAACCCTAATTGCTCCCCCCAGATCCCTCAGACCAGGTTACGTTCGCTTTGAGCCCTGCCTGGAATTGGGAGACCCCTAACCAGGTGGCTGGAATCTTTCAGGGTGGCCTGGTCCCAGCTCTCCCACGTGCTGACATGTTGCCTGCAGTTTCCTTTGATGTGAAAGAAAATAATGTCGCCCACTGGTCGACATGAGGGCCCTGAAGCCCCGGGTGGGGATGTGACCATTGCTCTAATTATCCCTGATTTCTGTCCCCTGCCATGCCAGGGGATCATCTGGGATTGCTTTGGGTTTTTCTCTCCTAGTTTCCTTATGTCACCCCTGCCCCCCATGAACCGGTAAAGACATTGAGGAGCCTGGTGAACATCCGAAAAGACTCGCTGCGACTCGTAAGGTAACCCTTGACCCCACCCCGCTCTTTAATCTAGGGGTTCTCGACAGGGTAACTATACCCCAGGGACGTTGAGTCATGTTTGGAGACATTTTTGGTTTTTACTGCTGGAGGGGTGGTGTTCCTGGCATCTGGTGGGCGGAGACCAGCAGTACAGGACACCTCCATAGCCATTAATGATCCAGCTCCGACTGTCAGGGATGAGAACCTGCTTTAAACCTGGAAGACTTGAGGCATCTGGGCTTGTCTCTCAATCCAGAGAACTTGTCTCCCCTTCTGTGGGCAGGAGGCAAGAAGGGAAGGAGAACCCTATGTTGTTGGGCCTTATTGTCCAATGGGGAATGGGCCTCCGCGTTTCTAGAAAGGTGGGACGCAGCCAGGCAGCCGACTCAGGGGCCCCTCGGGGACAGTACGCACTGTGCAGGGTAGGCACGCTCCTGCAGGTATGGCCCCTGACCTGCCACCTGTCCCTCTGCATCCCTGCAGGTACAAAGATGGTGCTGACAGCCCTACTGAGGACAGCGAGAAGCCCCGCATCCTCTACAGCCTGGAGTTCACCTTTGATGCCGATGCCCGGGTGGCCATCACCATCTACTGCCAGGCAGTGGAGGAGTTTCTGAACGGCATGGCTGTGTGAGTCCCTGCGGTACCTGGCGGGCCTGGGGTGGGGGGGGGGCAGGGCCCCAATAGCTCTGTATCCGTCTGAATTGCATAATTGAACTTTCAGAGGTTTTATTTGTAGTAAGGATCCTGTGGACCCCAAAGTTGGAAATCTGCAACTTCAGCATGACCATGGCAGGCCTACCTCCACTGCAGGGCCAGGCCTGGATGGGATGGGCAGAAATGCACCAGCTTCCATCCTGTGGGAGAAAACCACTCGAAGGCCAGATTTGATCTGGGGATGGAGCAGTGGTTGAGTCGAGCTTTGAGTCTTGCACACAAGCTACCCCCTTCCCCAGTGCCAGTTTCTCAGGCCAGATGTACCAAGGCCCTCAAGAGTGTCCTTTGTCCTAGAGACTGAGAGAGAGGCCCTAGGGACAGCAGGTGTGGGGTAGGGTGGAGGGAGGCGGGCGAGGGCTGTGTGTTGGATTCCTGAATGGGGAGATGCCAGAGTTCATCAGAATTGAAAATGCGTGTACTCTTTGACCTTTTCTGGGAATTTATGTTGGGAATATGCTTGCATGTGTGGCTAAGATGTGTGCAGAGAAGGACCCTGGAAGCGTTTGGAAAAGCAGGATACTGGAGACCACCTGGTGTCCACCAGTGGGGGCCTGATTGAGTCCGTTAGAGCACAACCACAGTGGAGCTGATACAGTGTTCAGAGAATACGACACCTCTATATGTATATGGTGGTTATGGGACAGCTTCGGGGTGCATGAGTAATGAAGGAGCAGAGTGTAGGTGGGCTGCTCTTAAAGAGACACCCACGCGTATAAGTGTGACTGCCTCAGCTCTCCCGGGAGTGATACCTGGGTTGTGGTGGGCAGAGGAGCAAGCAGGTGGCGGGGAGCAAAGATGGGTGCGGGTTCGGGGGTAGGGGAAGGGACTTTGCACTGTGTACATTTTTGTACCATGTTTGTTCAAAAAAGTCAACAAACTGTCCAAATGGAAAGGCGTAGCCAATATCTGGAAAGGTAGCCCAGTTGACTGGCAGGTGTGGGCTCTGGAAGACTCATAACCAGGCCCAACCCGGGGAGAGCTAGTGGCGAGCGGAGTGAGGCTGTGGAGGCCCTCAGGAGGGTGGGGGCCCCTTGGCAGCATAGGTGGACTTGTTACCTCTCCCTCCCCCAGAGAAGGGCGGGGGCTTGCAGGGTGGACCTGCAAGTCAGTTTCTCCTAGGTCCCCAAAAGACCGGTGCCTGCCAGCCCCTGCCTCAGGGTCCTGTGGTCGGGAGGAGGACGGGATGCAGCAGAGTGTTTGTTCATGGCAGAGTCTCACCGTGCTTTCTCGCTGCTGTCCCTTCAGGTACAGCCCCAAGAGCCCCGCCCTGCAGTCTGAGACAGTCCATTATAAGAGGGGGGTGAGCCAGCATTTCTCCCTGCCCTCCTTCAAGATCGACTTCTCAGAATGGAAGGACGAAGAGGTAACCTCCTGGCTGGGCCTTCCCTTCCCTCTAGCCCCTTTCCTGAATTCCCTCCCCTCTGGGGGGCAGGCACAGTGGGGCCTGTTCGCTAAGATTCCTCCTATGGTTGAAAAGCATCAAGCGTGGCTGTTGACCAAGGTCTGTGTGCTCAGTCGGACGTGTGCTGGACTGTGGAGCGTGGTTCTGTCTAAATGTTGGCTGGATTGGATGATTGAGGCAGGACGGAGCAGCAGCAGTTAGAGGCTCTGGTACCGGGTTTTGGTG